AGCATAATACACTGTAAACATTTTAAGTGCTCAATAGCATTGTTGTTTTCACATATTTATTTATTCATTAATCCCCATTGCCTCAGCTAAAAAAAATATATTAAAATCTAAGTCAAAGTCAAAAATTTATTTTAACCACGCATTTCATGGGATCCACAACTTTTCAACCGCACATTCTATAAACTTCTATCAAAATTTACTAAAAATCTTTATTCTCATCTATTCAAACTAGGCAAAATTTTGAGTTTGGCTCATGTGCCAAGGTCCTTTTGCTATATCAATTTATGAAACAAACAGTTATCTTAGCTAATTAAATAAATCCTTCACTGCAGGAACCTGGCCCAAAGGGATTTTATGAGAAGATGGACATTAAAATTCACCGGAAGTTGGACATGGTTTTTCAACACTCTTAGAAACTAAGATACAATAGATAGCTTTAGGACTTGAATCATTCCAAAAAAAAGGCTAATTAAGAGAATGTTAGGCCAAAGTTCCAAACATTATTTGGACAACTAGCTCTCTCCCTATGTTTTAGGGGGGAAAAAGCTTTTTTTTTTGGTTGAAAACTCTTAACTTTATGTTACTTATTGTGGAGTTTTATTTCTCAAACCACACTTTCATAAGTGAAAATACGTTTTTCTCACACTTGTATTCCAATGGACAGCTAGCAGTTTGGTATTGATTAATAAATGGTCACTAGAGTTGTGCTCTCTCTTGGCAATTGTGGACCATTGATCTAATCCTATGGCTGAGATTTAGTCTCCATAATTAATGCATAGAAGACTTCTTTGAGGGTTGGTGGAAGAAGTCAGACGGGTCACTCTCACTTGGAAGAAATTGTCTCTTGGGTTTTTTCTCTCTCTAGTCCTCTCGCACCTGCTTCTTCCTTTCTATTTAGGTCAGGAGAACGTTGGTGATTTTTGCAATAATCTTGTACTTATCTGATGATGGTAGAATGTTGGTACAATGTTTTAGGCCTTGATTATGGCTGGTAAACATTATTGCGTTCTTGGCAAGGTTTTGTCTAGTCTCGTGGGCTAGGTTCGATTTATTGAGAGATCCTTGTGGATTGATGAACAAATAGTGGGTCTGATTTGGTTTTCTCAACTGGTTGTACACTCCGTTGAAGGTTTCTTGCTAGTGACGGGCTCACCTCTGAGCCCCCCAGATTAGTCCGTTTTTTGCTGAACTGGGTGAACAATCTTTGTGTTCGATTTCTGTTCTTGCTTTATTTTTTACTATATTACAATTACTTGTGGATTTTGGATTGATAATCCTAACAAATCTAGTATCAAAGCTCGATTTTCGAGGCATCTGAGTGATATACCTTGCCCTAAGGATATTCTGTGAGTTGAGAAAAATAAACAATCGTGCATATACTTTTTTCTGGATCTACAATATTCGTTTTTTTATTTCTTGAGATTTCATTTTCTGTCCAGATCTTAAAGATCTGCACAGACATATAAGGAGACTAATTTTCTGTTTAAGTGCGTAGGTTAAGAACTAAAGATTGGTCAATTCTTGGCTGGTTCTAGTTTTGGCAGGTGATAGGGTGATCTTTGAAACTCTTGTGATTGCACTGTTGTTAAACAGTGCTGTGGGTGAGATCTAACCATTAAAAGAACCTATATAATTTTGGTGCACAAAAATTGCATGTCTATTGTTCTGTGGATTAATTATTGACATTGTACATTGTGTATTGATAATTAATCTGACAATAGGAGCATGTTTAGATATTATACAAAGTTATTTATATCTGTTGTGTAATTCTTTGAATTCCCAACACGTTGACTGGTTGTGTATATTGCTTCAGTTGTGGAAGTTAGGATAATTGTTTTTCATTCTATGATTTGCATTCCTTTAAGTCAGCTAGGAAATTTCTTGGTTTTCGGTAATCATATATTGAGGTGTCTGTCGTGGATTCCAATAGTAACCACCCTTTTACAGAACTTATGATGGGTTGAAGGTCGAATTCTCACAATTCGATGGAAAAAGGGGGATTACTCAATTTGGAAGCAGAAAATGAGGGCCATATTGGTCCAAAAAAGGGTTGCTAAAGCCCTGAACGACCCTGATAAATATTCTGATGAACTTAAAGCCAAACTTGATGAGATTCTTGAAATGAATGAAATAACTTATAGTTCGATTATCCTGCACTTATCTGATTATATAATTAGGCAAGTAGAGGAATTCGAAATTGCTAGAGATCTTTGGACAGCCTTAGATAACTTGTTCTTAACCAAGACTTTACCAAATAAAATTTATCTCCTGGGAAAACTGTTCAGTTTTAAAATGGATGATCGGAAAGACCTTGAAACCAATTTGAGTGATTTTAGCATACTGGTGAAAAGTCTTGCTCATAATGATAAAAATTTTGAAGATGAGGATCTTGCAATAATCCTTCTAAACTCCTTACTTGATCCTTATAAGGATATCAAAAATGCTATAAAATACTCAAGAGATGTTTTAACACAATCAATCGTGACAAATGCCCTAAGATCTAGGGAATTGGAAGTCAAGAAAGAATCTAAACTAAACTCAAGAGAGGACTAGAGAAAGAAAAAACCCAAGAGACAATTTCTTCCAAAATAGAGTGACCCGTCTGACTTCTTCCACAACCCTCAAAGAAGTCTTCTATGCATTCATTATGGAGACTAAATCTCAGTCATAGGATTAAATCAATGGTCCACAATTGCCAAGAGAAAGCACAACTCTAGTGACCATTTATTAATCAATGCCAAATTGCCAACTGTCCATTGGAATACAAGTGGGAGAAAAACGCATTTTCACTTATGAAAGTGTGGTTTGAGAAACACAACTCCACAAATCTTCACCTTGGTTCTCAAACCGCTTGTTGCTATAATTCTAGTAACAGAACCATACCCTACGTCATCGCTTAAGTACTTGCACAAAGTTATAACAAAGTTTGGCATGAAAAAAGCTAAGTCCGTCAATGTTCCCCTTGTTGCCCATATAAATCTCTCATCTGCCCAGTGTCCAAAAACTGAATCTGAAAATAAAGATATGACAAATATTCCATATGCCAATTATATTGGATCTGTTATGTTTTCCATGTTTACAACACGACCAAATCTAGCATATTCAATCACTTTTTTAAGTAGGTTTATGACAAATCCTGGAAAACCACACTGGGCTGGATTAAAGTGGCTACTTAGATACATAGTTGGGACACTAAATGTAGGATTGGTGTTCAAAAAGGGATCGGAACCATTAACTCTTAAAGGTTATGTGGACTCTGATTTCGCTGGAGATACAGATCAAAGAAAGTCTACAACTGCCTTCTTTTTTACACTTGGTGATAATTGTATTACGTGGAAATCTCAACTTCAATCAATTGTAACTTTGTCTAGCACTGAAGCTGAATATGTGACAATTACTGAATGTGTAAAAGAATGCATATGGCTTAAAGGGATCTTGGCTGAATTGAATACTCTGAATACTCCAACTGTGATATTAACTGATAGTCAAAGTGCTTTACTTTTAAGCGAAAATCCTGTCTATCATGAAAGGTCAAAGCACATTGAGGTGAAGTATCATTTCATAAGAGAAAAACTCTCATATGGTGAAATGGTTATTGAGAAAATTCATACTGATTTTAATCCTGTTGATATGGGGACTAAAATACTACCAGTTAATAAATTCAGATCTTGTTTATCGTTGCTTAATATTGATACAGGTTGATTTTTGTGCAGGTACTTGGGCGATGATGTAGGGTATGGTTTTGTCATTAGAATTATAGCAAAAAGAGAGGAAGTGCACGGTTTGAGAACCAAGGTGAAGATTTGTGGAGTTGTGTTTCTCAAGCCACACTTTCATAAGTGAAAATGCGTTTTTCTCCCACTTGTATTCCAATAGACAGCTGGCAGTTTGGCATTGATTAATAAATGGTCACTAGAGTTGTGCTTTCTCTTGACAATTGTAGACCATTGATCAAATCTTATGGCTAAGATTTAGTCTCCATAATTAATGCATAGAAGACTTCTTTGAGGGTTGGTGGAAGAAGTCAGATGGGTTACTCTCATTTGGAAGAAATTGTCTCTTAGGTTTTTTCTCTCTCTAGTCCTCTCGCCTCCGCTTCTTCCTTTCTACTTAAATCTGGAGAACTTGGTGATTTTTGCAATAATCTTGTAGTTATCTGATGATGGTAGAATGTTGGTACAGTGTTTTAGGCATTGATTGTGGTTGGTATACTTGTATTGTGTTCTTGGCAAGGTTTTGTCTAGTCTTGTGGGCTAGGTTCGGTTTATTGAGAGTTCCTTGTGGATCGATGACCATATAGTGGGTCTGATTTGGTTTTCTCAACTGGTTGTACACTCGCTTGAAGGTTTCTTGCTTGTGACGGGCTCAACTCTGAGCCCCCCAGATAAGGCAGTTTTTGACTTAACTAGGTGAACAATCCTTGTGTTCGGTTTCTGTTCTTACTTTATTTTTTACTATATTACAATTGCTTGTGGGTTTTGGGTCGATAATCCTAACACTTATATCGATACGGTCACCTATATAAAGTTATTTAATAACTCGCCGATAAGTATACTTTTCAAGCTTAACCAAACATGCTCAGACAGATATATAATTTGCTTCAATGGCACAACAGACAAGAAGACGAAAATATAATTTAAACAAACCATGAAACAACTACTTTACTCAATCACGCGCACAAAATAAGAATTGCAAACTCCAAAATAGACTGTTTTCTATTTAAATTCACAATTATATTTGCTAGTAATGAAGATTGAATTCTCTACACAGTGTAATTAGTATTTATAAATACATGTTTCTCCACTATAACCATCAATTCATGGAATTTCATCAGCAGTGACTAAATTTCAAACGCAATATCAACTTTGCTTCTGTGAGACTGTAACTCGCCGTTACGCACTTACGCAAACAGTATGCATAAATCACTGCTGACATTCACACGCACACCAAAACACGCGTATATATATAAGAATAGGCGCGTAGAAGAATAGATGAAGGACCTGTAAGTGACTTCTCTCTGGGAAGAAGCAAAGGAGGAGTACTGTTTGTATGCCACATACCCGTTCGGAGTCTCCATAATAGGTATGAGAGAGAGAGAGAGAGAGAGAGAGAGAGAGTGTGTGTGTATTTCGGACTTTTAATCGAAGCAGAGTCCACTGTGGCGGGTGAAGGCTGAAGGCTGCGGCGGAGGTGTCGATTGTAACGGCCGCGGCGTAGGGGGGAAAAATTGACAGTTGATTACTGGGAATTGACAGTTGATTAGTGATTACTAATCACTAACTAAGAAAACGATGTGAATTGGCACCTGGGCCTGGATGTACGATATAGTGACAGTTGCCATATTGGAACGGCTTCTATCCTGTAATTTCTTTACAGTTCACTCCATTTTGAACTGCAGAAAATAGTTTGTGCTAGTGCGACTTTTAAGTTTGCACTGGAGATATTTGGAGCGGGAGTGCCTGGAGACGTCTACATCTACAGAATTCGCTGAGCTTAAAAAGATTATTTTATAAGCCTCCATTTGCAAATTAATTTACAAATGGTTTATAAATTCAGTCATTTTAGTATTCATCTTTCTAAATTATTTAGAACGTGTTGAGTAGAGGTGGGCGCGGGTCGATTCGATTCGATTCTCTTACAATTCGCTGAGCTTAAAAAAGATTATTTTATAAGCCTCCATTTGCAAATTAATTTACAAATGGTTTATAAATTCAGTCAAAATATATATTAATTCTAATCATACCTTTGTAATAACTAATTATTTATTATCCACACATTTCGTGCGCTCCATTGTTTTTTTTACTATTCATCTTTCTAATTTAGAACGTGTTGAGTAGAGATTGGTGCAGGTCGATTCGATTCGATTCTTAAGAGAATTGAATCGAATAAAAAATTTCTGGTATATAATAAATGGAACCGTCGGGTCCAAATATAATTATGAAACCGTTCGGGCTCGGTTCAATTTGTGGTTCCGTTCAATGATTTTGGAATGTCAGAGACTAATAGATTACCTTATTCAAATGAGTGCTACGATCAAAGCTTCGGTCTGTGGAGGTCACAGCTTCGGCCGACAATTGTATAGATTTTGGAATGTCAGCGAGATTGCGAGAGTCGAGACAACGTTATGCACTTCAGTGTATGTGTTCAGGGTTATTTAGTGGGTTGAATCTTGTTGGGTTAAGAAATGAAACAATAAAATGGCAATTGGGCTAAAATTGAAAAATTAGAAATGAAACAAATTATTGGGACAAATTTTTGAATTTAGAAATTGTTAATTTTTTTAAAAAAATTAAAATTAAAATAATTTGATTTATTGAATATAAAAAAAATAGAAAGATTCGATTCTTATTCGATTCTTCGATTCTTGGTTTAGAAACGAGAACCGAACCGTATTCGTCAGTTCTCAATTCAAATACCCGTTCGAGTATTTAATTTGACAAGAACCGTCCGATTCGGTTCGGGAGATTTGCCCAACCCTAGTGTTGAGTCTCATTTTTAGAGAATAATGTATTTTAAAATAATAGATTGATAGAGAATGTGTGATTAAAAAAATTGAAACATTTTGAATTTCCATGTAATACTATTTTATTGAAAAATGTGTGATTGAAAAAAAAAAGGAAAAAATGTATTTTGAAAGTAATTGGATCAAACAAGAGCTTAATTTTCGAAGCGGAGGCTAAGTAAACCCTAGTTTGATAGTCATTATTTTCAAAATATATTTTTCTTTTCCTTCTTTTTAATCACACAATTTTCAATAAAATAATATTACAAGCAAACTCAAAAAAAAATATTATTTTTTAATTACATATTTTCCATCAATTTACTATTTCAAAATCCATTTTTAACAAAAAAAAAATGGGACTCAAACATAAATATGTATTTTAAAATAGGGTTAAAAATAGAAAAAAATTCAGTCGAGATACCATACCTTTCATTTATTAGTAGACTTGACCCAAATCTTTCATTAGTGTCACTGGCGGTACCAAACCTTTAAAAAATTCGCACCATGAGTCCAAATTGACAGAAACTGTTATTTGACTGTTACTAATAAAAAATCAAAAGTCTGACCCATTGTTAGCTGATTTTTAAAAGGACAAATATGCAACTTTACATTTTCATATAAAAATTTAAAATAAATGAATTATATTAAAAACCAAAAAGCAAAAAAATAAAAAACCCCAATCAACTTTTTCGCTCCAAAAATTCTGGGTGTATAAAATTTTAAGTTTACAGAATGTGTACAGAGTCTCACAAACGATGGACCCCACATGAATATTTTATTGTCAAAAAAATCACCCACTTCCTTTATGTGTGTATTTTATACAACATCTGTACACTTAAATATCTGTACATGTAGACTAACTCTTTCCGCTCACCCCTACATCCTTTCTCCCCACGCCGACCAAAACTGAAATCCTGTTTGCACCAGTAAATGAACAAAAGCTAAGAAACTTCAAGAGGTGCTGGATACAGAATTCAATCAAGATTTGCTAAAAACGTCGAATTTAGCACAGTTACCTTATCTTCAAGCCTATGTTAAAGAAACCTTGAGGTTGCACCCTCCTGCACCACTAATGCTTTCTCACCGAGCACTTGAAACCTGTCAAGTGATGAATTACACCATTCCTCAAAATGCTCGAGTACTTGTAATGTTTGGGCAATTGAGTGAGATCCATGGCTACCAAAATTATTCCAGCGGCATACCCGATTTTTGGTTTTGCGAGGGGGAGGGCTATGGTTCGGTGGAGAAGATGACTTTTTTTTTGTTTTTATATTTCTTTTTTTTAAGTTTTTTATATGAAAATATAAAGTTACACATTTGCCCATTTAAAAATCAGTCAACAATTAGTTAAATTTTTTATTTTTTGGTCAATTACTGTGAAACTAGCGGTGTCTGTCAATTTGGACTTCAGGTATGAATTTTTTAAAGGTTTGGTATCTTTGATGGCACAGATGAAAGGTTTGGATCATGTCTGCTAATAAACGAAATGTTCGATATCTCGATCGTAATTTTCCCTTAAAAAAATGTGTGGAGACAACTATATTTGCCCTATTTCAGCCATCAAACTTATTTTTGCTACAAATTTAACACCCAACTTTAATTTTCTTACCGCATTAATCACTATTGTCCACTCACTCAACAAAAGCTAAGGGAACGTGCTCATGGCAGAGGGAAATTATACATGGCATAGATTGAAACGTTGAATAGCAACTGGATAAATATTTGTTAACAACTTTCATGACAATCAAGAACATGCATGACAAGGAAGGACGTGGCCCCAAAAAAAAAGAATTTTTTGTTAAGGAATTTTTCATTTTGTTTCCTGTAAAAACGGTTTTTTTATGTGTAAATTTTTTTTTCGTGTATTAGCCCAATTTGAATTTTTGTAGTCCGATTTTTAATACAATCCTAGATCCGTCCCTAATGCATGAGGAGATCTTTGTTGATAGCCATTGTCAACATTTTCGACCTATCAAAATTTAATATTTAAAATATCTTAATTTTTGCCACGTATGATTTTGTCTGCATGTTCCATTAGTGTTTGATGGCAAAGTTGACAATAGTGATCGACTGTTTGAGAAAATAAAAGTTCAAGGTTAAATTTGCAATGAAAATAAGTTCAGTGACTAAAATAGGGCAACCATATAAGTTAAGGGCCCCGACAAGATTTTAACCTTTTTGAAATAATCAAAATTAGAAAAAGCAATGTATATAGTGACCAAATCGGACTTGAAGCAATCGCACCGCAGAATAGTATTCTGTACTTTGCATCGTCAATTAAACCAACTTTTTTAAATGTTGCAATTTTTGGCCAAAGATTTAAACCCACTCCGTGGTCTGTAAAGAAAGAATTATTTTCTAAAAGTAAGTAATTTTACTTAAAATCCAAAAAAAAAAAAAAGAAAAAAAAAGTAAGTAAAAATGGTAAAATATTACTTAAAAGCAAGTTTGTTCTTTTAAGGATAAATTCTCCCAGGGGTCCTCAATCTTTTGTAACTATGGCACTCATGCTTCGAACTTATCATTTATTGCACTCATGTCCTCAACCTTTTAAAGTACAAAATTCAAAACAAATAATTTTCTTTAATTAATAATATATGGTGCCTAGTTTTAAGTTTGAGCATCGGGTGGTTCAGTTTGAGTATTTCAAGAACCAAAATCAATTATTAAATTTCGAGTATTTTGTAAATCGTATGATTCGTTTAAATGAAATTTTTGAAATCGAAACGAAATTGGTGTTGGTTGTTCAATCTGAATATTTGAAAAATCAAAATCATCGATTGAACTTTGGTTACTTTGTCAATGGAACCATTTGACTCCATATAATGTTTTGAACTGAGTTGAACAAGTGATTTCGATTAAAATGTTCACACATACATGGATTTAAAAGGTTAGGAATATGAGTGCAACAAATAGTAGGTTGAGGACAAAAATACCACCCCTGTGAAAAGTTAAGGACCCTGTAATTGAGTTTACCCCTGTTTAAAAGCTTAAACAAGCATGGACTTGTGTGTTAAGCTATGAAAGAAAAAATTAGAAATTTTGTCAATCTTGTCAATCATTACATGAATGACAAGATGGTTTAAAGTAACGGTGACTTTAGTGGTTAGAACATGTTTCTCACATATCCAAAAAGGCTCATGATTATAAGAATCATTTCAACACGATGAACATCCTAAAAGAGAGAGGTGGACTGTAGACTAACAAATAACATATATGTTTTAGTTACTGTAGATTGAATTGATTTAGAGCATCTTCAATGGTGCTCTAAATTAAATCTAAATTTGATGTAAATTTTTAAAGTGGTCGAAAATCTATCCAATTAAGAGATGTAAAGGAAATGCAGATTGCATTTTCGAATGAAAAAAAAGGATGCAAATTTGCATATGTTTTTACATCTACTTGTGACACCCCATAAGAGACATATGTAAGAAAACAAGTCGCCAGTGGATGAAACCAATTGTATAAGTTTTATTCAAATGCAATAGCCGACTATTGAAATTAATAACCACAAGGCAAACGATTTCAATTTATCAAAAAAAAAAATTTCGTTTTAGAATTTTCCAACGGCTGAAAAAAATGTTTAGCAACATAAAATCAGAAATATAAGTTAACTGCAGGCTAAAACTATAAACGATGAATCTGGAAGCTGCACACTATGGAACTACAAACTGCATGAATTATATAGTAATGCGAAAATAATCTTCAGAAATAAATGGAAACTGATGTGAAAATAATCTGCAAAAATAAATGGAAACTGAATCTGCAAGGATAAACTGAATTTGCAAAGAAACTATACGAACTGCAACGAAATAAATCTGCAGAAAGAAAACACAAACCGCAACAGATTTCAAACCGAGGCCTGTGCGTGCACAGTTTCCTTAAAACAGTTTCGCCCCCTCACCGTAGGTGCTGGAGGTTCAGTTCGAGCGGCTGTCTCCCAGAATACAACGGTAGTAAGCAGAATCCGAGCACCACGGTCCTACTCCGGCGAACTGCACATGACTGGAAGGGAACAAAAACTACACTGTATGAAAACTTGAATTGGGAA